TCATCCCAGCCGTTTCACACTCGGCCGCGAACCGCCCAAGCGAGAGCTGAAGGTCGGCGCTCGATGAAGCTAGGAGGACCACATCATCCGCAAAAAGCAGAGACGAGATCCTCCCGCCACCGAACCCAAACCCGTCCACCACCCGGCTGCGCCTAGAAATTCTGTCCATAAAAGTTATGAACAGAACCGGTGACAAAGGGCAGCCCTGGCGGAGTCCAACCCTCACCGGGAACAGGTCCGACTTACTGCCGGCTACGCGAACCAGACTCACACTCCTTTGGTACAGGGATTTAATGGCCACTAACAAGGGGCCATCCACCCCATACTCCCGGAGTGCCCCCCACAGGGAGCCCCTGGGAACACGGTCGTAAGCCTTCTCCAAATCCACAAAACACATGTGGACTGGATTGGCAAACTCCCATGCTCCCTCCAGCACCCTAGCGAGGGTAAAGAGCTGGTCCACAGTTCCACGCCCAGGACGAAAACCACATTGCTCCTCCTCGATCTGAGGTTCAACTATCGACCGGACCCTCTTTTCCAGTACCCTGGCATAGACCTTACCAGGGAGGCTGAGGAGTGTAATTCCACGGTAGTTGGAACACACCCTCTGGTCACCCTTCTTAAAGATGGGGACCACCACCCCGGTTTGCCACTCCAAAGGCACTGCCCCCGATGTCCACGCAATGTTGCAGAGGCGTGTCAACCAAGACAGCCCTACAACATCCAGAGCCTTGAGATACCCAGGGCGGATCTCATCAACCCCCGGGGCTCTGCCACCGCGCAGTTGTTTCACTACGTCGGCGACTTCTGCCCCGGAGATTAGATCATCCATCCCCAGGTCTCTTGGCTCTGTTTCCTCTACGGAATACGTGTTGGTGGGATTGAGGAGCTCCTCAAAGTATTCCTTCCACCGTCCCACTATATCCTCAGTTGACGTCAGCAGCTCCCCGCCCCCACTGTAAACAGTGTGAGCGAGTTGCCGCCTTCCCCCCCTGAGGCGCCGGACGGTTTGCCAGAACCTTTTTGGAGCCGATCGATAGTCTTCCTCCATTGTCTCACCGAACTCCTCCCACGTCCGAGTTTTTGCCTCAGCAACTGCCGCAGCTGCACTCCGCTTGGCCCGCCGGTACCAGTCAGCTGATTCCTGAGACCCACAGGCCAACCACGCCCTGTAGGCCTCCTTCTTCAGCCTGACGGCTTCCCCCACCGCCGGTGTCCACCAGCGGGTACGGGGGTTACCGCCACGACTGGCCCCAGCTACCTTGCGGCCGCAGCTTGCAACAGCCGCCTCAACAATAGCAGAGCGGAACAAGGCCCATTCGGACTCAATGTCCCCCACTGCCCTCGGGACGCGGTCGAAACTCTGCCGGAGGTGTGCGTTGAAAATCATCTTGACGGGTTCTTCCGCCAGGTTTTCCCAGCAGACCCTCACAACCCGTTTGGGCCTGCCAGGTCTGCGCGGCGTCTTCCCCCGCCATCTGATCCAACTCATCACCAGGTGGTGGTCGGTTGACAACTCTGCTCCTCTCTTTACCCGAGTGTCCAAAACATGCGGCCGCAGGTCTGATGATACGACTACAAAGTCGATCATAGACCTGCGACCTAGGGTGTCCTGGTGCCAAGTGCACCTGTGGACATCCTTATGTTTGAACATGGTGTTAGTTATGGCCAAGCTGTGACTAGCACAGAAGTCCAATAACTGAACGCCGCTCGGGTTCAGATCGGGCAGGCCGTTCCTCCCCACCACACCCTTCCAGGTCACGCTGTCATTGCCCACGTGAGCATTGAAGTCTCCCAGTAGGACAATGGAGTCCCCTTTCGGGGCGCTTTCCAGCACCCGTCCCAAGGACTCCAAAAAGGGCGGGTAGTCTGAACTGCTGTTCGGCGCATAAGCACCGACAACAGTCAGAACCCGATCCCCGACCCGAAGGCGCAGGGACGCAACCCTTTCGTCCACCGGGGTAAACTCCAACATACAGGCAGAGAGCCTGGGGGACACCAAAAAGCCCACCCCGGCCCTCCGCCTCTCACCCGGAGCAACTCCAGCAAAGAGGAGAGACCAGCCCCTCTCAAGGACTTGGGTTCCGGAGCCAACGCTATGTGTCGAGGTGAGGCCGACTATATCTAGCCGGTATCGCTCGACCTCTTCCACAAGCTCCCGCTCCTTCCCCGCCAGAGAGGTGACGTTCCATGTTCCAAAAACCAGTTTCCGACCCATGGGGCCCGGCCACCAGGCGCTCGTCCACGGGCCCCAACCCCAAGCCTGGCTCCAGGGCGGGGCCCCGGTGTCCCTCCGGGCCGGGTACTCGGGTTCTTGATATTATTCATCATTAGGATCTTCTGAACCGTTCTTCGTCTGGCCCTTCACCTAAGACCAATCTGCCTTGGGAGACCCTACCAGGGGCAAAATGCCCCCGACAACATAGCTCCTAGGGTCATTAGGGCTCTCAAACTCCTCCACCACGGTAAGGTGACGGTTCAAGGAGGAGTTGACAAAATGAAGATTTAATTTTGTCAATTTCATTGACAAAATGAAATTATTTTAATCGCTTTTAATCAGCATTGTCTATAGATGATATAGACCAAGTTTCGTGAGAATCAGATAAATGGCTTTTGACTAGTTCATTTTGGGTTTATGTTCGATTATTTGAAAATGGCTGAAAAATTAAGCATTTTTATAACAGAAGACCATAAGAGCAAAGATGCAGAAGATTTCAGAGCTCTAAATGGCAAAAGAATTTTGACTGTTGCCCAAGCCGTTTTCGAGAAACTACACACATGTATACTTCATTATTATAGCACCACCTAGTACCATTTTTGTGCCTAAGTAGTGGGTGGAAGTTCTTCTCCAGCAGTTTTTGCTGCACAAACAATTTTAGCGGAGAAAAATAATAATAACAATAATAATGATAATGAGAACAAAAACAGTAGGGTTCCCAGCAGCAAATACTGCTAGGACCCCTAATGAGAACACAAACAATAGGGATTCAGCAGCATTCACTGCTTGGAACCCTAATAACGAGAATAAAAACAATAGGGTTCCCAGCAGCATTCTCTGCTTGGACCTCTGTTGGGACTCAATCATTCAAGAGACCAAATGTTTCTTTGCTCCACTGGACAAAGGAACTCACACTCCATAGTTCCTCACCGTTCACACCTGGGGATGACCCTTCCCCCCACGGACCCCACTGGCCAGCCACTGTGGGTTAGCGTGTGACATGTGACCCCCAAGGGTGTCACCAAACAAAACCAGATCTCTGGCCCCCTTCTCGCTCTCTTCTCCCTCGGCTTGCTCTGGAGAGCAGCTCCAGCTCTCTCCTCTGAGCTCTTCAAAGGGCAACAAGGCCCCAGCCCAGGTCAGCCCTGCTACCTGAGAAACCAGCTCTCGCGCCGGCCTGCTACCAGCAGCCTGCAAACACTCTTCTCCTCAATAGCAGCGACCTGCTTCGGATTAACTGTGAGTGAACCAAATCCTCGTCAGAATCAGCAGCTACGACACAAGGCCAGCTGGTTTTCCAAGCAACAGGAGTCGTAGCAGAGTTAGCATGGAACAGCTAACTCTGTGAGGAGAACAAAGGAGATAACCGCAAAGCAACACAGCTAGACAGGACTTTACTCCACTAGGAAATCTCCCAACTCACTGGACTTTACACCAACACTGGAAAGGACCTCTTTGCTTGTTTCCAGGACTGGGTAACGTTAACTGACTGGGCCTAACCTTTCACAGCATAGCACCGCACAGCATAACTAAGCAGCAGAAGTCTTAACTTTGTTAATGTACTTCTTGATTGATGTCTTGTTGTTGTAATGTTTGCTTAGGTTGTGGTCAGTCATACAGTTAATCAGGTACTCGTATGTTAACACACATGGTAGTACGTCTCAGTTCTAGAACCTGCATGAAGCTAACCAACCCCCTCTAACCTGGTACCTTTAGATTACATGAGCTAGGCTAACAAAGAAACTCACACCTTCCCTCTCACACACCCCAGGTGGTCCAGCGGCCATTTTTAGTAGTTTCTTTGTTTACCGCCATCTTGTGTAGTCTTCTTTGTTCAGGTCATGTGGTAACAGTGACCACTTTGAATCGGCCATCTTGCCTTTGTTTGTGTCCCCACAAACACACACACAAACACACACACACACACATACACACACCTGCATATACTAGATCAGACATTGTGTTTTACTCTGCTTCATTGTAAATAAATGCCTTTAAGTATAACTACTGGTGTGTTTAATGTTGCACAAGCGTGAATGTTGCCAACCTCTACTTTGTAGAATTCCAATCCTTCAGCCTTAACTTACTGTTGATTTGGTAGTTTGGTTATAGTTAGTAAGCTAATTGTTAATCAGAGTTCCAGATTAATGGTAATAATTTGAGACTAAAACTATATTGGCTATCTTGCCTATTAGTTTAGGCTGGTGCCCCGTGAACTTTAATTAATTTTAAAGTTATTATTTAACATTAATTTTTCTAATATTAATATTTTCTTAATTTATGATAGCCAATAAATTCATAGACAACCGAAATTCAACATATTTGGTGTCCAGCTCATGAGGTAGAGCTCAGACCCAACAACCTCTAATATAGAGAACAAAAACAATAGGGTTCCAGCAGCATTCGCTGCTTGGACCCCTAATAAAGAGAACAAAAGCAATAGGGTTCCCAGCAGCATTCTCTGCTTGGACCCCTAATAAAGAGAACAAAAGCCATAGGGTTCCCAGCAGCATTCTCTGCTTGGACCCCTTATAAAGAGAACAAAAACAACAGTACCTAACCTAATTACAGGTTTTAGGCTACAAAATAGGAAAAACACGTAGGGGGTGAATACTTTTGCAAGGCACTGTATATGGATACTGAGGCGCTGTCACATTGACATCCACACTCAGTGGTGTCATCAGAGTCAGCTGTGAAGAAATAGATTCATATAACATATTAAACAGTTTGAACAACATTAAGTACATGAACCTTCAACACTGAGGTGTTTCTGTCTCTGCAGACACTGAAGGATGAACTGTGTCTCCTCACTGCTGAGAAAGAAACAGGAATTGAAGGACCTGAAGGAGGACATGGTGAAGACGAGAATCCCAGAGACTCAACTCTGACCAGAGTGAAGGACTCACTCAATGACATTATCGCCCTGTGTCACCGCAACTCTCACAACCTCTACCAGCAACAGAGAGAGGTGTGTGTGTGTGTGTGTGTGTGTGTGTGTGAGAGAGAGAGAGAGAGAGAGAGTGTGTGTGTGTGGGTGTGTGTGTGTGGCACTCTCTTCTCATCCATGGCTCTCCTCCTCACAGGCTCTGTGGTTTCCTCTTCTGGAGACCATGATGGCTTCTCAGAAACTAGTGAAGGGGTTTGATTCCAAATACACCTCTGAGGGTAAACGCACGCACGCACGCACGCACGCACGCACGCACACACGCACATGGTTGTGTATTCTGGTGTATGCTACCCACTGGACCACACTAGAACATAGTTCTCTGTATTGCGTTTGATATGACACAAAAAGACTTAGAAGCTGAACAGTTCTTTTTAACATGTTGTTCACTGTATCACAGTAAATACATGAACATGGAAAACATGTAACAGGTGTGTTTTTTAGTATTACACATTATTTTTGTTTTTATTTGTTGGTTTTAAATCTTCTGAGCTGAGAGCTGTTTGAAGCATCAGCTGTAGAGTCAGAGGTGAGATGATTCTCTGTCAGGACAGGGATGTAGTCCCTAACACTGATCCCCCCCCTCCTCTATCATCATGTATGATATGATTTATGTAGCCAGGGAGCTTCTTGGTGTTTTATTTCTTCACCAGTTAAAACAGCAGGACAGGTCGTCTGTGCTGAGAAGTGAATCAGTGATGAGAACTGTTGATTAAAATGATGTTTGTGTATGTTTCAGTGCTGAAGGAGCTGACGATGAAGGTTCTCAACTGTATGAGCTGCTTCATCTCTCTGCCTGCCATCATCCAACGAATACTGCAGGTCTGTGTGTATATGAAACGCCTCGTTGGGGGTCCAGACATTACTCCCTGGACATATTGACGTCAATATGTCTCTTGGTGCTGCCCAACTGCAAGCTGGACACCCCCTGCAAGCTTGGCACGCCCCCATTCAAGGCACAGCACATAACTACTTATAATGAAGAGTTTTCTTTAGTTTTGTAGCCATGACAAAAAGACACTGTGTTCTCACCTGCCTGGAGAAATCTACTTTTTCCACAGTTCCCTCCACTGCTCCAGACATTATAGTGTGAGCCCTGCACTTCTAGGAGTACTGCTTCCGAAACCACACACAGTTAGACACTTTATTTTCACAACGGTTATTTCTGTGTTCACACTTAATGTGGTTGAATGGGAGACTCAGGCTCATAGCCGGTCAGTCTGCATTATCATTGTCAGGCTGTGAAGTTTAACTGTGTTTTCAGCGACCTTATTGTCTTAGTAAGAAGCAGTGTAGCGAAGATATAAATGCTTAAACATTTGTAAATATTGACATGCTATATCTAGTTAGCTCAGATAAGTGATCCATAATTTAACTGCTCAGTTCGTTTTTCAGTAACTATGCACACTAAAGTTTAATTAATTCAGATTTACTGGCATCGTAAACCAGCAGGAGGTAAAGCACTGGAGATTCCCTACCTGTCGACTATAAATGATGTTCCTCCATCATTTACATTCCTTTAGTCTCGGAGTGTCCACACATAAAAAATCAAAAGGGTTTCTCATAAAAGTATTCCAAGTTTTGAATATTGTCATCTTAAGTCTTTGAAGACTGTCCAGCATCTTGATTCACAACACTCTCCATATTTTTGCCTCTTCCCTCCCTCGGGCTGCCTGACAGTAGGTACACTTGTTTTCCTGCTCCAATCCAATATCTGAAGCTGGATCGGGTCTATCATCTTCTGGTTCCGGACTCCCACTCAAACTGATAAGGCAGAACTGAAGCTGCCACAAGCGTTTGTTTACACAAAACATGCAGAACGCGTCGTTGCCATGGTAGTTACCAATCATAGCACACTGATTGGTCAGCTTCAGAGGGAGGAGGGAGGCCTTAAAGAGCCCTGAACTCTAACAGAGCTTTTCAGACAGAGGGTGAATAGAGTACAGTATAAGATGTACAGAAAAATTTAAATAATGTCTTTTCAGAACATTAAAGCACATAAATCTATTTTAGTCGACACCAAGAATGAAATGATGAACACGAAAATGGCCATAATAGGTTAAATCTACAACCTAATATAGTGAAGAGTCTGAAGACCTTCTGAGACAGTGTATTTCTGAGGCTAAAAGGTTAAGTTAACAATATAGAAAACTGTCATCATCATCATCATTATGAAATGAGAAATATATGGTGTTGAAATTCTGACTGTGTGTTTGAAGAGAGACCATTAATGTGTGATTCAACACATGGATGTCATTGTTGTTAACACTGTGACATGTGACCTTGTCAGGACCCTGTCTATGGGAAAGGAAAACTGGCAGAGATCCAAGGCCTCATTCTGGGTATGCTGGACACCTTTAACTATGAACAGGTAAACCTGTGTGTGTGTGTGTGTGTGTGTGTGTGTGTGTGTGTGTGTGTGTGTGTGTGTGTGTGTGCGCGCGAGAGAGAGAGTGTCTGGTCTTCAGCAGTTTGTTTAGGCTTATTGTGACTCAATAATTATTCATATTCTATGTATAATATTTCATGTCTTGTGTGTATTGTGCCTCAGTCTGTGATTCATCATTAAACAAAGCAGCAGGTCTCTAGAAGCTGCATCTGTCCCTTACTGACTCACACACACACACCGTCAACACACACACTCTGATGGACCATGACCATAAATACTGTATGATTCATGCTGTTAGAGTTTTGTTCATATCACTAATATTTGTGAACAGTAAAACAGAAAAACACTGTTGCTTATCTGTAGCTTAACTCCTTTTATTGCACATGTGAACAGACATGTAATTTACATGTAAAAACACAGACCTTTAGTAATGCTGTTTTTCTTTTCTGTTGTAGACTTTACTTGAAACAACAACCAGTCTGTTGAACCATGATCTCCACTGGTCCTTGGCTCACCTGCGTGCTGCTGTCACAAGAGGACTCCACCCACGACAAGACTACTGTAACATCTGCCTCCAGCAGTACAAGAGGAGGCAGGACTCAGCTGAGGAGATCATTGTGTTTAGGTAACACACCTGAGGTGACAGGCCGTCTGCAACTCTCTGTTTGTCTGCGGCTCGGACAGACAACCTATCTGTTGCTACCAGCTCATTTGCACTATTGTATGTTGTACATGGTGTATTTGGTTTTGATGTTTTTGTTATGGGGATTGCATGTATTTTTTATTGTACTTCCTTTGGGAGAGGCCGAAGACAAATTTCCTCTAAGGTTAACAATAAAGTCAATCTATCAGTAGATGAAGCAGTAAGATCTGCACACTGACTTGGATGTTGCAGTGGACACACTGACTGTTGATCAGTCTAATTCTGCGGTAGACTGTCCACTGAATAATTTGACAGTCAGTGTGTCCTATTGTTGTGAAACGCCACTGACACAAATGATTGTGAAAGTTTCCACTGACAACTGAAGTTAAAGGGTGGTAACTTGTGTGTGTGTGTGTGTGTGTGTGTGTGTGTATCTCGTCAGCTGTGGCCACCTGTACCATTTCCAGTGCCTGCAGCAGAAGGACTGTGGGTGGGGCATTTCTTTAGAGCTGCAGCAGCGGTGGAGCTGCTACAAGTGTTCATCCAGCCAAGGAGGAAGAGGCGGGGCTTCCACCGAACCAAAGAAAGGCCGCAGCACGTCCCTGGCTCAGGTGTGTGTTTGTAAAGAAAGATAGAGCCAGATAGACTTGAGGGAATAAATATACCTTCAAGAAAAAGATAGTTTTCCATTAAATCTTTGACTTCGGTGTTAGAATAATCAGTGTCTGTTCGGGTCGTGCAGTTTAAAGCTTGAGTAGGTAATCTGTTTCATAAACACTTTTTGTGATATTTCTTCAAATTCTCTTAATATCCCAATAGCAATGAACAAATTAAATGCTCTGACAATAAACAAAAAAAAATCCGTACTCTGTGTCAGTCACAGGGCTGTTAAAACTCCAGCCAATCACTACATTCGGCCCAGATGCAATGATTGGCTAGCCGAGCTGTCTATCAACCTCACTAGCGTGCCTGTGCATACTCTGGCCGTGCACTTGCGGCTTACTGCTGCATGACCGCTGCTTCCGTGTCAGACAAGCGACAGTCACAGGTGAAGAAGAGGAAGAAGACGCACAGGAATGGCAGAGAAAGTTCAGCCAGTTCCACCCAAGGCTTTGACTTCAGCAGCAGCTTCACTCGTAAAAGGAAGAAGGTAGCAGAAAAAGCTGCTACAAAAATAAAATTGGACAATTTCAGAGGCCGAACAAGTGTCCACATTGATGTTGCTTTTCAACTATGGCAACAACTGAGGAAACAGAGGAGCTAAAAAGCGATGCGATGGTGGCTATATTTCTGTTAGACAGGTAATTATCTTGTTTGTTTTATTTTGGGAAGTGGAGGGGAGGGAGTTATTATATATATATATATATATATATATACAGTGTATATATATATGTTACGTATATAGCTGCTTCATAAGCTGTTTCAGCTGTTTAATCATAAACCAATGTATGTTTTATGTATTAGCCAAAGCTAAAGTTAGATAACACTGGGTGTAAGCAACATCAGCTATGCTAGTAGACAGAGTAGTTGAGATCACACATAACATTGCCTTGTATGTAATCTGTGCAGCCTATATGTTTGGCGATGTCGGCATTGTAGTTGTGGGCAGATGTTATTTGACAGTGTTTTTCTTGTCTGTAATAACTTCAAATTGGATGTTTGTGTTTTGTATTTGTATTTTTAGTTGTGAGATTGACTTCTTTACTCCCACACCTTTCAAACAGGGATTGATGAGACCACCACCCCTGCTCCACCATTTCATTGATATCTCTCCCACTGGTGAGTGCAACTTAATGTGATAGAAACATAGCTTAGGTCTTCAAACTTCTAAAAATCAGGTTGTTGGCAACCCATTTACAAATGTGCAAAGTGTAATTGCTTAGACCACTGTTATTCATATAAATGCATCCTTCTTGTATGTGTAGCTGTTTTGTTTTACGTACATGAGGGTGCGACTCACAATATTGGTTCTAGCAGTTGAGACCATTTCTCATATTAGAAAAATATTCTTGAATTCAATGTTTGTGTACTAACCAACCCTCTCAAATACGTATTTTATACCCATAAAACCATCTTCCCCTCAGCAAAATAACCTGAGACTTGTATTTCTATGTAGCAATAGCCTTGTGTTGTTATACGTCCAATAAAGACATTCACATCTAATAATCTAAATGTCATTTTTGTAGAGATGATGGCTAATTGTGATATTCTTTCTAAAGGACAGGTGCTGCCATAGCAGAAGAAGCCACAATGCCCACATGACGCCACATGCAGAGCCTGACCTGTCAGCAGACACTCCCCTCTGCCTATAATCAACAGTAAATGTATTATGTATGTCAGTGATACATTGTGTATATATCTTATATTGTTAATAGTATTTCAGTAATGTTGTATGTATATATATATTTAGGTCCATAAAAATACAATAAACAAATTACATACCACATTGGATTATTTTGTGTAGCATACAAAGAGATACTAAATGAAACAACTTCATTGTTTATTCTGTAAGTGTAAGGAAAAGGCATGTATCATTTTACAGATTTTATTAAAAAAAAGTCAGAACAGATTGTGCATATAAATAAGAATTCAAAATAAAACTTAAGATACTACCAGTCAAAAGTTTGGACACACTTTCCTGAACTTCTTACTGGTACTGTATATGATTGTATGTGTGACTGCATGGAAGGAGTTGTGATGTTGTGATGTCCCTTCCACATCTGTGGACATTTCTGGCTAATGCACCATGTAGAATGACCTGTAACCACAGTGCCTGGTTGAGGAGCATCTGCTGATGTAATTTGTAACATATCAAACACCAGTCTTGGGTCACAGAGCTCAGACAGAACTGCAGCAGGTGATGCCACTTTTCCAAGCCCAGTTCTCGAATTCTGGCCTGTGCAGCAACAGATAACAAATATATTAGATATTATTATAGAACAGAGCTTCATTGAATTTTGTATTGGTGGTGTTGGTCAGAAAAAAAACAAAAACAAATAATTTGCTACTATAGATACCTGCTCATCTAGACATGCTCTCCCACAACCTCCTCACCCTCCCCCCCAAGCCTGAGCCTGGCCTCTGTGATGAGATGAAATCAGAGCTAGCAATGCTCTCATCCTGGAAGCTTTAACATGCAAAACAACGTAATATGTGTGACGTTGAAACGTTGTGTTGCGTTATGTGTGAAATGTTAGCTGTACTAGTAGTATAGCTAACTTAGTATTAGTAGTGTAGCTTGTTTGATGTTTGTTGATATTTCTAGCTTGGCTTGATATACAACCTTACCGCAGGTGGCTACTAGCTAGCCAGTGATATGTTATTGTATCTAACTGTATTTCCAACAAAAATTATTATTATTATTAAGCATACTAGCTTGATAGCATTGAGTACGAGCAACAGTCATGTTGGTTGTTTACATTCATTATGGTAATCTTAAATGTTTTCTTACTTGTGAATGAGTTATTCTGTATTGGGATATCATAACGACAATTACCGCTACGTTGTGCTCCGCTCTCTCTCTCTCGTCCACTTGAGCACTGCGTGTGTTTTAGGGGAGTGGCCTTAGAGGGATGCCTGAAGGGAGGGGGTGGGAGTTTTTTTTTTGGATACTTTCAAAATCTAGCAAACTCAGGCTAACATCTCCCATAGTACCTATTCCAGCTTTAAAGGATAATACTTATTAGTGCCACGGGTGCTCAGCTCCGAGGCATCTATTAATATTCCTTCGGGCTTATTATTATTCTTCCGCCAAATTTTGGCACGTAACTCGTCCCGCAGCTTTGAGAAAACCCCGGTAATATATACATCAAAATGTGCGTCTTGATCCCGAGAGAGGTGCTATGACTTTTGGTGTTAAAATTCCAATTTTTCCCAAAGTTATTCCCAAAATACTGGGAATAAATAATGCATTAGGAATGCATTGGAATTTTCTTTAACAACCCACAAAATTTCACCTTTTTTCTACAAAATTTCACCTTTTTTCTGAGTCACCCAGCTCTCTCATACCTGCACGTAGAAATGTGATTCAAACTATAAAACGGAGGAAAACTTCTGCTCTCTCCAAAACACGGCAACTGTTTTTACATAACATGTAAACTTTTCAAACTATGAGCACTCAAGGAGGAGTGGAAATCACTTTTTCTTCAAAGTACGAGTGACAGCGTCAGTTGGCTAGAGTGCGTGAAGCAGTAAAAAATAACGTTTATTTTTATTTTTAACTCGAGCTCACGGCCAAACCGTAAAAAGGAGACAAATAATTCTTTCTGAAAATGTAGACATAGTTGTTGGGATTCATAAAATGTAACTTTGACAGGCAGGGTCTGCACAAAATTTAAACGGGGGTGCCGAGTCCGGCAGCAATACCTGTCTCACTCTCATTGACACCTAATGTAATCGTCTTTTTTTTTCCAAAAGAATCTCACTCTGTCTTCGCACTGAGCTTACGCACTCATTTTAAGGAATATCTGAATAAAATAGAGACTGTAAGAAACTTCTGGCTTCAGTGTCTGTCACGGTGTTTTCGGTTTTTGAAAAGAAGTAACGGTTTTCTCATAATTTGCAATTGTTTTAAGCCATGTAGAAGCCAAATTCTGGGCAGATTTTCACATTGCCATGGCAACGGCAGCTCCTGACCTGTGTGCGTGTGTGCGTGCCTAGCAACCAGATAACCAACTCTCCAAGCTCCGCTAGCTTTACATTAGCCGCATGTTAGGTCTTAAATTACATTTAGTTAGGTCTTAAATATGTAAGTCCATTTACTGCTTCCTTTGTTGCTTTTCTTTTTGTTTTGTTAAATGAGTGAATGAAGTTGTGACGGTCTCCGCTGAGACAGAGGAGAGGAGAAGCTACTAGCCCTCTCTCGCTGTCACTTCTAGTCGCGTTGCTCTCCTCCCCAGTAATGTTAAATTTAGCACCGAAAAAAACATAATAGTGGTAATTTAAATAGCGGTTCATGGGATTTATTAACCCTCAGGGGTCCCTCTGTCCTTTTTTGGACATTTTCTTCACTTTTCTTTTTTGATTTGCTGATCATTTTGGCTGTGTTACAGCTGAAGGTATGGATTTCTGCAAGAAAGTGTCTTTTTTGACATATTTTTAAAATCTAATGTCAGTTACTGTTACAGGTCTATTATACACTGGTAACACATTTTGTACCCTCTGGGGTTCCTTGCGTCCAAAAAAGGACACACAAAGAAAATGCTATAAAATCATCATATATCAACATTTTTTTCTGCTTTTTTTTTGCATACATCTCTTAAACCACTTCAGTTCTGCTCAAACCTACCAAATGTTTATTAGTTTTCAGGATTTTAACCCTTTAAATGCCAGTTTGAAGACATGTTGCCTCTTGTTTTATTAAAAAAAACAACACAGAATATGAGATATTTCCCACATAATACATGATGGAGGGATGTGACATTGTTTTATATCAGAGTCTTTTATATCAAGACATTTCTCAAAACCAGAATATGATCAGGGTGACTTTTGAACACTGGAAATAAATCATGTACTCATCCTGGCAGTAGTCCACGTGGCACTCAAAATTTCCCTGGAATTTTCTAGTTATCATTATTATTATTATTATTATTTTACATTGTTTTTATTTATATATTATTATACAGGACGTTGACCTCCCATGTTCCTACATTCAACCTACTAAATACATTAACATACAGAAACCCAGAACACTGAAACACTGATATTGTGTTGGGTTTCAGATCTTTATTATTAAACCTGTGGTCCTCACACAGCAGCAGAACTGATTGAACAGCATGGATGGAGAACGATAACTTTTCTGCACAAATTGATCAAAGATTAACAATAAAGCCACTGTAAAAGTTATTAATTCACTAAAGTGGATCCAGCATTGTTACATTTTTACACCAGAAAAGGGAGGTATCTACTATATCTCCATCCCTCCATAATACTCAGAGAGCTGCTATAATAAAGATTTAAAGTGAAGGGGGATCCAGTAACTTGGTTCCACCTGCCTCCCTACATGTGTCATCATGAGTGAGCCTCCCTCATCTTTTGGAGGAGACATGAAGCATCTTCCATCTATTACCTGTGATCTCCATCTAATACATTATCAGGATGATGACATCTGATCACATTCTGACTGGGTCTCATCAGGTGGGCAGACCCAGCTGATGGTGAAAGGAACTGATGTGGGGTACACACTCATGGACCACTCCCATATGCAGGGTGAGGGTTATTTGTCAGAAAGAAAGAGCTGAAAGCAGAGGCTACTCTGCATTTGTCTTGCTAATGAGACTAACATTATACTGTAACAAGGTCACCAAAGCCAGTGGAGAAACTTGTTAGCACTCATGCTACCTCGGCTTTGGTCACGTGATGAGTTTTGCACATTGTGCTTCTACCGTCTGCTGAAGTGATGCTGTTGTTTGCAGTAACCAAACTACAGTTGTTGTTTACATCTGATTCAGATTTGATCACTGAAGAAAAGATCTTGGAGCATGTCATGCTTCAACTTCTCATCATTTTAAAATAATAGTGGTAAAAAACCATGAGGGCAGGTGAAACCTGCGGCTGCCTTCAAATGTAGCTGAGACCAGTGATGAGATCAGTGACAAGACCAGTAACGAGGCCAGTGACAGGATCAGTGACGGGACCAGTGTTGAGACCAGTGATGAGGCCAGTGATGAGACCAATGACGAGACCAATAACGAGACCAGTGTTGAGACCAGTGATGAGCTCAATAAGGAGACCAGTGACAAGACCAGTGATGAGACCAATAACGAGACCAGTAATGAGAACAATAATTAGACCAGTGACAACCAGTGATGAGGCCATTGACGAGACAAATGATGAGGCCACTGACAAAACCAGTGACAAAACCAGAGACCAGTGATGAGACCAATGACAAGGCCTGAGATGAGACAAGGGATGAAACCAGTGATGAGGCCAGTGACGAGACCAGGGATGAGGCCTGAGATTAAACCAGTGATGAGGCCAGTGATGAGACCAGTGATGAGGCCAGTGACGAGACCTGTGATAAGACCAGTGATCAGGCCTGAGATCAGACCAGTGATGAGACCAGAGATGACACCAGTAATGAGAACAGTCGATGAGCCAGTAATCAGACCAGTGATGAAACCAGTGATAAAACCAGTGATGAGGCCAGTATCAAAACCAGTGATGATGCCAGTGACGAAATGAGTGATGAGGCCAGTGATGAGGCCAATAACAAGACCAGTAATGAGAACAATAATGAGACCAGTGACGAGACCAGTGATGAAGTCAGTGATGAGACCAATGATGAGGCCACTGACAAAACCAGTGATGAGACCAGTGATGAGACATGTGATGCGGCCAGTGACGAGACAAGTGATGAGGCCAGTGACAAGACCAGTGATGAGGCCAGAGATCAGACCAGTGATGAGGCCAGTGAAGAGATTAGTGATAAGACCACTGACAAGACCAGTGACGAGACCAATGACAAGGCCTGAGATGAGATGAGGGATGAAATTAGTGATGAGGCCATTGATGAGACCAGTGATGAGACCAATACCGAGACCTGTGATAAGACCAGTGATCAGGTCCAGGTATGATGCCAGTGATCAGGATAGTGATCATGCCAGTGATGAGACCAGAGATGACACCAATGATGAGACCAGTTGATGAGGCAAATGACGAGGCCAGTAATCAAACTAGTGATGAGGCCAGTGACGAGATGAGTGATGAGGCCAATGATGAGGCCAGTGACCAGACCAGTGTTGAGGCCTGAGATCAGACCAGTGATGAGGCCAGTGAAGAGATTAATGATGAGACCATTGACAAGACCTGAGATGAGACGAGGGATGAAATCAGTGATGAGGCCAGTGACGAGACCAGGGATGAGGCCTGAGATCAGACCAGTGACAAGGCCAGTTATGAGACCAGTGATGAGATCAGTGATGGGGCCGGTGACGAGACCTGTGATAAGGCCTGAGATCAGACCAGTGACGAGGCCAGTAATGAGATCAGGGATAAAACCAGTGATGAGGCCTGAGACCAGTCCAAGGATGATGCCAGTGATCAGACCAGTGATGAGGCCAGTGATCAGACCAGTGATGAGGCCTGTGATCAGATTAGTGATGAGGCCAGTGAAGAGATTAGTGATGAGACCATTGACAAGACCAGTGACGAGACCAGTGACAAGGCCTGAGATGAGACGAGGGCCAGTGATGAGGCCAGTGATGAGGCCAGAGATCAGACCAGTTACAAGGCCAGTTATGAGACCAGTGACCAAACCAGTGATAAGGCCAGTCATGAGACCAGTGATGAGGCCAGTGACGAGACCTGTGATGAGACCAGTGATCAGGCCTGGGATCAGACCAGTGACAAGGCCTGTGATGAGACGAGTGATGAGGCCAGTATCAAAACCAGTGATGAGGCCAGTGACGAGTCCAGTGATGAGGCCAGTGATGAGGCCTGTGACGAGACCGGTGATGAGACCAATCATCATGCCTGAGATCAGACCAGTGACGAGGCCAGTGACAAGACCAGTGATGAGATCAATAACGAGACCAGTGATGAGGCCGGTCATGAGACCGGTGACGAAACCCATGAACCCATGATGGACCATTCCATTCCATGGACCAATTTCACACAGTGCTGCTGAACAGACATAATTTAGACAGACAACACTCAGTGCCTTGTGCTGGTCATTGTGCCATTAAAGATGGTTTCACAGTTCACCTGCATGCTGTGGGTTTTTCATGAGGCAGCAGGGAGTGTGGGGACATCAAGGAAACTCATGCCACAACAGCTGTAAAAGGCATTTTATAACACGGAACAGCAGATTCATGTTGGTGTTAATGTGACAGATGTGAAAGATTGTCTTACAGTAGATAATATGAGCCTATCCTCATCTCTCCCTCTCAGACTCGTGTCACATCGATGCATCATGATGCAGGAGCAGAGGTTCACAGGAAGAAGGTAAGGGTTATCTGATCTCCAATGTTTACTGTCTACACACACACCACAGGAGGCCCTCCATCTGCACCTCTGCTGTACATGATTATTGTGTTAGATTTTCACTCTTAAAACTTGGGATACTTCCAATTTAATACAAACAATGGATTAATTGTTAAAAAACCAGTGATCACCAAAACTGGTCCCATGAAAGGTCTTGTACAAATGCAGTTGTCATAATGTGGAAAAACCCTTTAAGATTCATTTGACTCATTTGTAAAGATGTAACATGTCCAGCTGCAGGACAGCAAGTCTGATAACAGCTCTCTGACCAAACTAGTCCAACAAGTCTAATCGACTTGATGTTCACTGCAGAGCTGCTGGATTTCTGAATTTGTCCCTTAAAAATCATCAAAAATGAGGCACAAGACGATTTTGCTGTTTGCACTCTGTATGCACGAATTAACAAAGTATTGTTTAATATTTATACTTTATATTTTGTATTTCTTTTGGTTTTTTGTTGTGGTCCAGGTGTTTGTTGAGGCGACACTGGACCATCAGCAGGAGCAGTCCTGGGATCAGCTACGCTCTTTGTACCGAGGACCATCCAGGGTACGGACTCTGTATCTGTCTAACAAATATGAATATATATTAATAATTTTTGAAAGAAAAGTTCTGAAAAGGAAGCTGTCAAGCTGAAGAAGGAGGCCTGGCTAAATGGCCTTAATCACCTGGCTGGCCCAGGGGGCTCCAGGAACAGCAGATGGGTACTGGGCAGCCAAAAGGGCAGCAGCTTTGGCAGTTGCGGAAGCAAAAACTCAAGTGTGGGAGTAGTTCAGGGAGGCTTTGGAGGAGGACTTTCAGTTGGCCTCAAGGAAATTCTGGCAAACCGTTCGGTGACTCAGGAAAGGGAAGCAGGGCTTGACCCAGGCTGTCCTAATCTACATATCCTTTTTACACTTGTGCTACGAACCATTCGGTCCTTGTATAACCAATGTGATAGCTGTGTCCACATTCTCGGCACAAAGTCAAACACGTTTTTAGTGAATGTTGGACTCCGCCAACCTCAGAATTGCATCTGTGCAGCTAATGTGGTTCTGTTGGCCTAATCAGAGCATGACCTACAGCATTCGCTGGGACGGTTTGCAGCTGAGTGCGAAGCGGCTGGGATGAGAGTCAGCACCTCCAAGTCTGAGGCCATGGTTCTCAGCCAGAAAATGGTGGACTGCTCCCCCCAGGTTGGGGCTGAGTTACTGCCCCAAGTGAAGGAGTTCAAGTATCTCAGGGTCTTATTCACGAGTAAGATGGAGTAGGAGATTGACAGGCGGGTCAGGGCGGCGTCAGCACCAAAGCAGACGTTGTACTGCACCATTGTGAATAAGAGTGAGCTGAGCCGGAAGGCAAAGCTCTTGATATACCAGTCGATATGGTAGTGACCAAAAGAATAAGAATGCGGATGCAAGTGTCAAAATGGGTTTCTGCCATAGGGTGGCTGGGCTCAGCCTTAGAGATAGGGTGAGGAGCTTGGACCACCGGAAGGGAGCTCGGAGTAGAGTCGCTGCTCCTTCATGTGGAAAGGAGCCAGCTGAGGCGGTTCAGGCATCTGATAAGGATACCTCCTGGGAAGTTTTCTGGGCATGTCCGATTGGGAGAAGACCCCAGGGCAGACCCAGAACTCGCTGGAGGGATTATAGATCCCATCTGGCCTGGGAACACCTTGGATCCCCCAGGAGGAACTGGAAAGCATTGCCAGAGAGAGGGATGTCTGGGACCTCCTGCTTAGGCTGTTGCAACCCAACCCTGGAAGATAACGGATGGATGGAAGTTCTGAAAATAAATATCCCACCTTATAACCCAAAAATTAGTCAGTGTCTCCTTAGATAGGCTAAGGGAGTTTAGCAAGGGTGGTAGGTCAGAGAGACAGGTCCATGACCCTGTTTGACCCAGGCAGGTCAGAGAGAGGGGTCTCTTGGGTCTTGGCGCTACCTCATGAACTGGACACCAAATATGTTGGATTTCGGATGTCTATCAATTTATTGGCTATCATAAATTAAGAAAAATATTAATATTAAATAATAACTTTAAAATTAATTAAAGTCCTCGGGGCACCAGCCTAAACTAATAGGCAAAATAGACAATATGGTTTCACTCTCAATTTATTACCATTAATCTGGAACTCTGATTAACAATTAGAGTTTACTAACTATAACCAAATTACCATATCAACAGTAAGTTAAAGTTGAAGGATTGGAATTCTACTAAGTAGAGGTAATATTCACGCTTGTGCAACATTAAACACACCAGTAGTTATACTTAAAGACATTTATTTACAATGGAGCAGAGTAAAAACACAATGTCTAATCTAGTATATACAGGTGTGTGTATGTGTGTGTGTCTGTGGGGACACAGACAAAGGCAAGATGGCCAATTCAAAGTGATCACTGTGACCACATGACCTGAACAAAGAAGACTACACAAGATGGCGGTAAACAAAGAAACTACTCAAAATGGCCACTGAGACCACCTGGTGTGTGTGGGAGGGAAGGTGTGAGTTTCTTTGTTAGCCTAGCTCATGTAATCTAAAGGCACCAGGTTAGAGGGAGGTGGTTAGCTTCATGCAGGTTCTAGAACTGGGACATACTACTATGTGTGTGAACATATGAGTACCCGATTAACTGTACAACAACAAGACATCAATCAACAAGTACATTAACAAAGTTAAGACTTCTGCTGCTTAGCTACGCTGTGCTGTGCTATGCTGTGCTGGGAAAGGTTTGGCCCAGTGAGTTAATGTTACCCAGTCCTTGGAACAAACAAAGAGGTCCTTTTCAGTGTTGTTGTAAAGTCCATTGAGTTGGGAGGCTTCCTGGTGGAGTAAAGTCCTGTCTGGCTGTGTTGCTTTGCTGTTATCTCCTTTGTTCTCCTCAGAGAGTTAGCTGTTCCAAGCTAACTTTGCTATGACTCCTATTGCTTGGAAAATCAGCTGGCCTTGTGTCGTAGCTGCTGATTCTGAAGAGAACTTGGTTCACTCTCAGTTAATCCAAAGCAGGTCGCTGCTGTTGAGGAGAAGAGGGTGTGCAGGCTGCTGTGAGCAGGCCGGCGAGAGAGCTGGTTTCTCAGGTAGCAGAGCTGACCTGGGCTGGGGCCTTGTTGCCCTTTGATGAGTCGAGAGGAGAGAGCAGGAGCTGCTCTCCAGCGTAAGCCAAAAAAAAAGAGAGAGAAGAGGGACAAGAGATCTGGTTTTGTTTGGTGACACCCTAGGGGGTCACATGTCACATGTTGACTCACACTGGCTGGCCAGTGAGGTCTGTAGGGGGGGGTCGTCCCTAGGTGTGAACAGTGAGGAACTGTGGGGTGTGAGTTCCTTTGTCCAGTGGAGCAAAGAAACATCTGGTCTCTGGAATGATGAGTCCCAACAGGTCCATGACCCTGTTTACCCAGGCAGTTCAGAGAGACGAGTCCTCATGAAACCGCAGCATCAGGAGCACTTTGGATCGTGATGCTGTGACTAATACAATTAGTCTTCATTTGAACAAGCAGAAGTGATGATAAACATGACCACCTGTATGTCAGTTTAACAAAGTCCTACACCATTACAGTGAGACAGCTGAATAACACTCAGACACTGTAGCTACCAATATTAGTTCCCGTGAGCGACCTTCATCTTTTAAAATCTCCAGAAGTCGACATCTAGATTCTGACTTCAATCCTTCAGAAGATTCACAGCGAAGGCCGAGAAAGCCCAAGGCCTCAGCTGTCTAAAACCTCCTGCTTTGTAATTGGCTCATTTAGACCCTGTTTTTACAGTATTTATTTGTTAATGTAGGTAGAGAAAGTTTACAAATGAATCTGTCAATCTACGCTATAAAACTGTATTCATGTGGTTTATAGAAGTTCCTCTGTCCATTTTTAACAGACAGAAGAAACGTAAAGAACAGCCTTCACATGAAGATCACACAGATATTAACATGTCTTGTACTTGTACATGTACTTGTTTCAGAGATTAACGTTGTTCACTTCTGACACAGCTGATAATCATGGTCATAGATTGAGCAGTAGAATGAGAGTACGGAGTTAATTACTGAGTAAAACATTTTACCTCCTGAGTTCAGTATGAATAAATAATTCAAAGTAAATGTAATCTGAACCTTTATGAGTTGGTAAAGCACTGAGCTGATATCAGAAACACTTGTGTTTTACAAAGGTGAAGTGACCTTTGTTTTGCCTTTCTCTCTCTCTTCCTGGCAGCTGTCCATCCTCTCAGACCTTTCCCTCTGCCACAGCTCTGAGAAGTCAGGATTTCTTCTCCCAGTTCACCCAGGAACAGAGACATTCCAGCTCAAACTCTCTCCTCCACCTCTGCTGGAGGAGTAGGTCTGTGGCTGGTTCAGGATCAGTTTTTCCTTATTTTTTCAGAGTCAAGTAGAATTGATTAAAAACTGATTGATGTTTCATCTGGTTTAATATTTATGACTATGTTAAAATGTTTATTTCAAAACAAACTGTTTAGTATTGATAACGTTGAGTCATCCTGATAATCTACTGAATGTGCAGTTGACTCTGCATAGGGAAGTGATGCTAGATGTTTGTTTACCAGCTCATTTTAGTTTGTGTTAGAAACATCTGGACTTTAAATCAAACTTAAACTCCCGGTTTTCAAACCAGTCATTAAGAGCAGAGTCAACCTCTAACTAAATTCATCTCACAGTAAGAATGTTAGAAACTGTTATCTTTTGGATGGAGGGGAAACAGAGCTGAAAATATTCTCTAAATGTTTGCTCTCTTCAGGTCAGCCTCTCTTTGCAGGATAATTAATGATTCAGCTGGTCACAGATGAGGCTCTGGTGAATGCAGTGGGTATGAGAAATGAACTGGTGAATGCAGTTAATCATGATGAAGGTGAACTGGTGAATGCAGTGGGTCTTGAGGGTGAACTGGTGAATGCAGTGGATCATGATGAGGGTGAACTGGTGAATGCAGTGAGTCATGATGAGGTTGAATTGGTGATTGCAGTGGGTCATGATGAGTGTGAACTGGTGAACCAGACTTGATGATAAATGATGCTAATGCTAAATGTAAAATTGACTCACTGAAGCTTGTAGTAGCCGAAATATTATTCTTGAGACAGTCTTGCTAGTTCAGAGTATATTTTATTTGTGCTCGGTGGCAGACTAATATCTGCAGAGTCGCAAACAACTCCCCAAATCCTACCTCTTATAAAGAAGTACAAACAATCTCACATCCCTTACATACAGTTATGTACTAAGTTCTTGAGAAAACAATCTCCCTTCCAGTAACTCTATTTTACAACTCTGGCCCCTCTCCCAGAACACTTGTCCTGGTCATGCTGACATGAGTTCAGGTCAGCAGTTCAGTTTAATTACGCACTAATGTTTTCCACAGATGTTGACAAAAATACATGAGTACATACTGAAATACTGAATACATGAGTGCATGAGATGTAGATAGATTATTACAATTTAGATATGACTTTTGCCACCACATATTCCTCCCTTCCAGGATCTGCCAGGCCCTGGACAATCCCTTTCCCCTTACAGGATTACCTGAAATCATTCATCCATATCATATTAAGACAGTTTCAATGCAGCACTAATATCATCTGATTTGCACACTTGCAAATAGAGACGAAAAAACCTGAAGTTGGAATACAGGTAAAAAACTCTATGACCCTCCTTCTGAACGATCACCTTTCACCGGCTTTCAACAAATGAACGCAGCAATGAATTCAATGTTTAGATACTTAAGTAAAAGTATAGTAGTATAATCAAAACTCATTGTATAAGTGTAATGTGGTTAGACAGTATAAATAAACTTCAACGCTACATTGGAATATGCTGCATAAATGAAATACACTCCCCTCCAAAAGTATTGGAACAGTGAGGCCAATTCCTTTATTTTTGCTGTAGACTGAAAACATTTGTGTTTGACATCAAAAGATGAATATGAGAAAAGAGATCAACATTTCAGCTTTTATTTCCAGGTATTTACATCTGGATCTGATACACAACTTAAAAGATAGTATTATTTGTAACAGAACTCCAAATTTTTAGGTGAGCAAAAGTATTGGAACATGTGACTGACAGTTGTGTTTTGTTGCCCAGGTGTGTCCTATTACATAGATTATTCAAACAATAAATAGCGCTGAATGTTTACGCCCAGTTTCAGATTTGGGTTTTGCCTGGGCAGACTGCATTTATAGTTAGAGGTGTAACCAACATGAAAACCAGAGAGCTGGCTATGGGTGAAAAAAAAGCAATTGTGAAGCTGAGAGAAGATCAATCAGAGACATTGCACAAACATTGGCCATAGCCAGTACAACCATTTGGAATGTCCTGAAGAAGAAAGAAACCACTGGTGTACTAAGTAACAGATGTCAAACGGGTAGACCAAGGAAAACAGCAGCACTTGACGACAGAAACATTGTGAGAGCTGTAAAGAAAGACCCTAAAACAACTGTTAGTGACATCAGCAACAACCTCCAGAGGGCAGGAGTGAAGGTATCAGAACCTACTGTTCGCAGAAGACTTCATGAACAAAAGTACAGAGGCTACATCAGAAGATGCAAACCACTCATTAGCAAGAAGAATTGAAAGGCCTGGCTGGAATTTGCCAAAATGTACAGACGAGACGTTTTATGGACTGATGAGACAAAGATGAACCTTTACCAAAGTGATGGAAAGGCTAAAGTTTGGAGAAAGAAAGGATTTGCTCATGATTCCAAACATAGAAGCTCATCTGTGAAAGACGGTGGAGGTAATGTCATGGCTTGGGCTTGCATGGCTTCTTCTGGGATGGGCTCATTCACCTTCAGTGATGATGTAACGCATCATGGCAGCAGCAAAATGAACTCAGAAGTCTACAGAAACATTTTATCTGCCAATTTAAAGACAGATGCAACCAAACTGATTGGGAGATCCTTCATAATGCAGCAAGATAATGACCCAAAACACACTGCAAAAACAACAAAGGAGTTCATCAGGGGCAAGAAGTGGAAGGTTTTAGACTGGCCAAGTCTATCTCCAGATCTAAACCCTATAGAGCATGCATTTTACCTGCTAAAGAGGAGACTGAAGGGAGTAACCCCCCAAAATACATAACAAATGAAAGAGGCTCCGGTGAAAGCCTTGAAAAGCATCACAAAAGAAGAATGCAAAAGTTTGGTGATGTCAATGGGTCACAGGCTTGATGCAGTTATTGCAAGCAAAGGATTTGCAACTAAATATTAAGTCTTATTCACTTTAATATATTTTAAGTCTATCTGTTCCAATACTTTTGCTCACCTAAAAATTTGGTGTTCCATTACAAATAATGCTATCTTCTAAGTTGTGTATCAGATCCAGATGTAAATACCTGGAAATAAAAGCTAAAATGTTGATCTCTTGTCTCATATTCATCTTTTGATGTCAAACCCAAATGTTTTCAGTCTACAGCAAAAATAAAGGAACTGTCCTCACTTTTGCAATACTTTTGGAGGGGAGTATATAATCAAGAGTGCATATGTCAAGAAATATTATTGAACACGTTATATTCTGACTGTAAACTGCTGTTGTACTCTTGTACTGCACTTGCATTGTGTGCATACTGTATGACTAGATTAAATGCATGATACTATATCAGTAAGGCACTTTGTGTAAATATCAATCAATTAATACACAGCATCTATTCTCTTAGTGTCTTTGGAGTCTGTGGTCCACCGTAGATCCAAAGCAACTGGCACAGACTGTCTGCATGCCACTTTGTTGTGAGCCAACGTGCCAGCTCCAGTTGTGTGGGCCCTGACCTGAAACTTACTTGTGCCTACTACTACTTCCCATTCTATCTTCGTCTCTGTCATATTCAATGTGGTTCCAGTGTTTCAGACCATCATGTACTCTGGACGTGTCTCAGTGACCAATCAGCCATGCACCTAAGATAGAATAGAACTACTCACAATCTTGGCCCACGACACAGTGGATGACTGGGAACTCCGCAGCATCTGGGTCGAGCTCACCAGTGGGATGAGGATCAGCAGCAGACATACTGCTCTCACTCTCCACCTTCCCCCGGGGCTCATCTTCCCGAACTCCAGAATCTTCGTCCTCCTTTTTCACTTCTTCACCAGCAGCTGGTTCTGTTGTAGCTTTCACACAGTGATTTAAATGATACCAAGTAGGTGATCCTTTCACGTGTACTGCCGTAGAAGTGGTCCTGACCACTTTGTATGGCCCTTCCCTTCGAGGGACGTTCCACTTTTTGTACACCAGATCTCCTGGCTTCACTGTGGGTTGTGGCTCTTCTCGGGCAAAAAACGACATGAGCAGAAATACTCCTATACCAGAGGTCGGCAATCCGCAGCTCTGAAGCTGCATGCAGCTCTTCAGCCCTTCTGCAGTGGCTTTGAAAAAAATAAAATAATATGAAAATAAATAATGTCTATTTTTTCTTTTCTTTTTTCTTTTAAAGAGAACACCTCATATTTTGGTGATCGAGGTGATACTGATAATATTTCGTCGACTAAAATATACGTCACATCTTACAATGTCTCCATAGCAACATTTACAGCCTACCGCCTCTTCCTGTTGCCGATAGGTGGCTAATCTTGAGTTTCAGACCCCCGGTAAGCTAACCATGGATAAATCCAAAAAAAGAAAAGTCTCAGAGTAAAATAAAGTTTAATTCTGAATGTCTCGACGGTTGAATGCTGTACTTGGCTGAGGATAAAAACAGAAGAGGATGATTGCACACTGAAATGGACTTGAGTCATAATTAAATACAAACTGGCCTGTTCTTATGTTTACTCTTCTTAAAGCTATTAGGCTGCAGCTATATGTTTTATTCATTTCAAAGTGGGTTACTTTTTATTCTTTTAACCCTTCACAAATAAGAGAAGGACTCAAACAGGCCTGCATAGTTCTGTGTTTTATTTAAAAGTAGGCATACACATGCCATTTTCTCCTATTCATAAGAGTTTGGGGGTTTCCTTTGTTATAACAGGTAAAAACAGCAATAAAATGTCAACAGTTTTTTTGTAGTTCTATAATTTCATAAATGCAGTAAACTATGGTTCTTTTATATATAGTATAACTATACATAAAACTTTAATGCTGTGTTATCTTCATTTTAAGGGTTGAATAGGTTTTGCGGCTTCAGATGATTTTATTTGTGGGAGAGGAGCCAAAAATGGCTCTTTTAATAATAAAAGTTGCAGACCCCTGTCCTATACTGTGTAGTCATTGTTGTACATAAGACTTCATGTCATCTGTCAACAGATCCAATGATGGACCTTTAACTGCCTTATATACAGGGGATGGCATTGGCCGACTGGTTAGTGCCTTATGCAGTGTTAGTTTAAGGTTCTATTAGCACTTCCCCTATAGGCCATTAAAGCAAGCAGCAAAGCATCCCCCCAGCTTAGCCCTGTGCTCATGCAAATTTTCAAGAATTTGTTTTTCAGTATTCCATTTGCTTTTTCAACTATACCCTGACTTTGTTGGTGATAAACACAACCCAACATCTGCTTAATTCCCAGTTTTTGTAAAACACATTTCTCTGTTTTGTCCACAAACTCCTTTCCATTATCTGAGCTTATCCTAGCTGGGATACTAAATCACGGTATTACTTATCTACAGAGAAGTTTCACCACTGTGTCTGCATTCTTATGCATGGCCGGTGGCGCCTCAACCCCCTTGCTAAAATGATCAACCACCAGCATGTATATTTTTCCTTGAATCGGTCCTAATGTCAGCAACACACAAGCATAGTTCTAGCAGCAGGACATAAACAACTAAAATGGTTTTTCATAGTCAAAGAGAGCCAACACCAGCACAATGTACCGCAGATTCATGGCACCCTCTGCTTTAATCTCTGCTTGTAGGGGCTGCACAATCAAAGAATATCCATCCATCCAATCAGAGCTGTATCCAGTCATTCCTAGTTCCATTCCAAAAGTCACCATTTCCTTCACTGTGGTCAGCTTAGGTGCCTGTGCAACTGCCAACAGCTGGGAGGGCAAAACTGATCGAGTTCCTTCCTTCAGAGAAGCCTAATGACCCCTTTGTGCTAGCATGGTCAGCAGAATCATGGAGTCTTTATGGCATGTTTCCAAGTCAGACGCACAAAGAATAATGTTGTCCATGTACTGGGTGCATGTCTATGTATTGGATTGATTCCTATACGTACACACGCACCCAGTACATGGACAACACAGTGCCTATAAAAAGTATTCACCCCTTGGATATTTTCCCATTTTATTGCTTTTATAAATAGAATCATGGTCAATATAATTTGGCTTTTTTGACAAGAATTTACGAAAAAAACTTGATGTAGATGTAAAAACTGATTTCTACAAAGTAATGTCAATTAATCAAAAATATATAATGTAAAATAAGTGATTGCATAAATATTCACCCCCTTTAAAGTGACTGACCTAATTCAACAGAGGTCCAGCCAATTGGCTGAGAACGTCTTTTGTTTTGTTCATTATTGCGATGGACTTTGTAATTTTGGTTTTAATATGATAAACGTGGTTTCCAGCATAGTTTGTGATCTATGACAACTCCCAAGAATTTGTTCTCATATACTCTCTCTATTTCAATATTATCTATCATAATTTGTGCTTGATTATAGTTTTTTCTATATCCAAATATTATATATTTAGTTTCATTTACATTACCATTATTAAACCTGTTTCCACTGTATCCAGAAACTGCTCAAGGTTTTTACCAGTACAAAACAAATTTGTATCATCAGCAAACAAAACAAAATTAAACAATTTGGACACATTACAGATATCATTTATGTACACTATAAACAATTATTGACCCAGCACTGACCCTTGTGGGACCCCACGCGTAACCCTCAACAAATCAGACTTGTTATTGTTTATT